AGTAGTAGTAGTAGTAGTAGTAGTAGTAGTAGTAGTAGTAGTAGTAGCAGTCGTCATGGTGGTAGTAGTGGTGGTAGTAGTAGCACTAGCAGTAGTAATACTAGCAGTAGTAAGTAGCTTTAAAAGTTAAGTAGTTTTAAGTGGTAGTAGTAATTAGTGATACAGTAACTGTAATAGAAGCACTAGTAGGAGCAGCAGTCGCAAGTAGAAAATACGGTGTTTCATGTAATGTATGTTTTGTTGTTGCAAGTTCAACCTGTTTTCTTGCACCACAGCTCAGTTCTAAGAACCAAATGCCTGGTGCGCCGCTGCAATCCGGGAAGGCAGGACGGTCGCCTGACGGAAAGAGTCTTCATGAAGAGTACCGACATTTCTCTTAATAATGGAATCCTCCAGGATTCAAGAGTCTTCATAACGACAGAATACCTCTTTTTCATCATTGTTCTCTGCTTTGTGACACAACATGCGAGGTGTTTTTCCCGGGTACCCGAACGGTTGAAGTGCACTGGCAGTATTCAGTTTACTTGAAGAACCTAAAGCTTTCACCAAAGATGAGAAGTACAAAATGTGTATGCCGTCCCCGTTCGGCGCCTTTCAAAGACCCCTTGAAGGACTTCTCCCACTCCTGCACCGGTTTCTGAAATCCCCAAGGTCACGGAAGCCTGGAAACATCTGGAAACCAAACCGTTTGTGGTAAAAGGCCAACAGTAAGAAAACATCCTTGGCTTTACATGTCCACGTTCTGAGCTGGCAGCACTGGACATCGGGATATATAAACTACTGCAGCATGCAGTCAGAACTGGACAGGTTGCCTGACAACCAGTCTTTTCGGCATTGGAAAGCTTGCCACTCCAGCCACACAGAACAAACAATGAATTAGTTACACTGTTTCAAATCATGTCACCAAGAAACATAGAGCAAATGACATGTGAGATTGCAGAAAGCAAAAAGTCTGCTAAAGACAAATGTCGAACACTGGGAAGCCCTCATTTCACCACTCCAGTGGGCGGAAGAAAACACTATGATGCTTAGTAGCATTGATTAAGTCTACCAAAGCCCTCTACTGCTACTATATAACTATGCCTACGCATCCTGGATGTTGGTTGGATCCACTGTTTCTATCCTTTTGGAACCTTACACATGCTGCTTTACCGCTTAGTTGCATGGACAGTCTAAGGAATTATATATGATATTATAAGGTCCCCGTTTGCTAAGCCTTTCACCTCCTGGCTGATGTGTTCCGGCAAGGAGGTCGCCCGGATGTCGGGCAACGGCCCCAGTGGCATGTTGCTCGGAGCGCGCAAGAAAATGGCGCGTGGCACGTCGGGCACTGTCTGTGATCGCAAGTGAACGAGAGCAATAGTTAGAGGCATAGGTTCATCAGTATGCATACATGGCTTCCAAGCTAGACTTCTGTCGTGGTCTTTCAAACATCTCCAAGCGACTACTTCAACAAAAGAACATTGGTCAGTCTATTGGTGTCTCAAGTGACCGGAATCACATCTGGTGGCACATTCTGTCCAAACTCACCGGAAGAACCTCTTCTGTGCTACTGAGCCATTGGAGCAGGATGACCTAAACCACCTCGGCGAGCACCTCGGAAGGCGCCGGGGAGGGCTGAAAGAGATCAGTTTTGAGACGTCTTGGAAATGTTCATGTTTAGTGGATCTACTTTTCGCTCAACCTGAGTGACCTGTTGTTGCAGCCAATCTCCAGCCACCCACTCAGACCCTGCCATGATCAGAGCTCAGCTCCTGGGTTTCCGCCTTTTCCCGGAACGGAACGGCACAGGAAGGCGCCAGGCCGGGAGGAGGTCATTTTCTCACTCCCGGGCACAGCGTTGGACACGACTGGGCTGGTTGATGTTGAATGGTGATGGAATGACCCGATGAAAACCACGATGAAAACCACTCAATACTCACCGTACTCAATTCCGTCTCGTGGTGATGTCAATATGACCGATGAAAACCGCTCAAGATTTTTTGAAATTACACCCTCAGTTTTGTTCCATCGAATCCACTCTCT